AATTAATAATTGAGAACATTAGAATCATAATCATAATTTCACTTATGATTTCCTAGTTTCACTTATCCCAGGTTATGTAAATCTTGACACTGATTCACTGATGGATGGTTTTTAAGGTCATAAACTACTGCCTTTGTACTTTGAAGTTTTCTTTATTTCTAATTGGGGAACTAATACTCTCATTAATTTACTGAGGAATCCTTTACTTAGAATTCTATTTCTTGTATTTCTGTATTTTGCGCTGGTTTTCTGTTAAAATATCAACCTTCACACACTTTTCTTCTAGAATTACCCATATGTGCTGACCAGTGACCTAAGAATAGGCTTTTATTTCTGTCATCCAGGTATTCTGATTCACTTTACAATTTTCTATCTTCACTTATCATTCAAATTGAAAATGAGATTTTTTTCTGCGACGTTTGAAAATGGTGGGATTAATGGGGAGTGGTGAAAGAAAAAGAAACCCCATATTTTTGAAGAATCATGATTTATTTTAGGAATACAGTCTTTCCAAACTAATTTCATGGTGCTAAGGGATCAGTTAAAGGAGTTGATTGGGTAAAATACTATAAAACCTGTGGTTGAAATAGCTGTGTTTAACTTCGTATCCATACAGTGGTTCAGTTGTGCAACATCTACAGTATTTTGCTCACTTGGAACTAGATAGACTTATTAATCACATTAACTTCAGTTGCTTTTCTAGTGTCATCTATAATTTTCTTCATAGTACAGATCAAAAGTAGAGTTCAAGGACTTTGGAGGGTGAAGTGGGGAAGAAAAGGGAGATCAAAGGTGGTGAGGGGAAAGGGCAAATGGGTGGTTTTGAAAAGAAAGTTTATGTGTAAAAATACACTAGAAAATATTTTTGATGTTGATCAACTTATTGACCAATTATTTGCTGTTGTTCAACTCAAAATAATACATTTAATCTTGAAAGTAAATATTAGCTTCCCCAAATGAAATTTTATCTGCAATGGACTGAATTCTGGAAAACATATTCTGTCGTCAAAGTGAGTTTTACTCTCCATGCTCAAAGAAGAGGATGGAAAAATGCCACCATTTCTGTCATCTTTGCTATGAACTAAGTAAGTGGCTTTCCCATTAACCACACATATAAGCTTCACGTTTCTGAGGCTCAGTTTACTAATCTACAAAATGAGAGTGAACTCCAAGACACCTTCACGTACTGATTACATAAGGCAATCATTAGATTTAAATAATCAATGATCAAACCCTTTAAAATGGAGTGTGGTGGAGTTGAAACATGGGAGAATCCTCTCAAAGCTGTCCAATCTTATTTGAGCATCGTGATACTTCATTTTAAATATATCATTTTTCCTTGAAAGATAACAGAATAAATAACATGCAGTTTTTATTGTCAAACTTGTGATATAAGTAAGCCATGTACAAAATATAAATCATGTTTCCTGTTTTTTTCTTGATCTTGCTTCATAATCACTATATTTGTCATTATGAAACTACACTGTATATGTGATTGCCCATGTTTCTGTATTAACTGTCTTACCAAATTTTTTCCCTCTCAAGGAATTGTTGCTGCTACTATATTAATTGGTATCCTAATTCTAGTCAAAACTTTCTGGGACTATGGAAAATCAGGGTGAGCAGAAATTCTGATGATTTAAAAAAATTTCTTATCTTCTTTCCAGTAAAACTTGCCACTGTACCAGTAGATTACTTTCTTAGCTTCATTGTATTTTTTGACATGCTCTCTCATTATTCCTTTTGTGTATAATTACTATCCTGGATGAACAGAATTGATATATTTAAATTTTTTTTAATTTCTCAACATGTATAAGGGCATTCGGGATAGTGATTTGAAAGCCAGAGTCTCATTTTGCAATCTATTAATCAACTCACCTTTTCCCCTGTTCAATACAATTTATGATAGTGTCTGTGTGTTGTACAGGCGCAAAAGATTCTAGGAAAAGAACCTCTAACATATGGCTAAGTTGCCTGTGACTAGAGCTTTTTCTGAGTTGTATTATTAGTTGATGCCAGTCTGTTCAAAATCAGCTCAGTGGTTAAGAGAGGAGGGTCTGGAACGTGACTTCTTGATTCCAGTTCGGGGTCTACTATTTACGTGCCATGTGACTGTCAGCAGCTTAACTTCTCAGTTTTCTCATTTGTCAAATGGGGGGAAATATAGTCCCTACTTTGTAGTATCTGCTTCATGAGATCAAATGAATTGCCACCTGTAAAGAGGTTAGAACTTTACTTGACACATGCGTGGTAAGGACTCGTGGTGAAACGGCAACATACATACACAAAAGTCAGTATCTGAAGCATCTGATCTGCATTGAATACATGTGTTAAGTATAATGTCGTGGTTGGCTCTGATGTATCCTGTAGACAAACAGGGTATTATTTAAATTGACCTTCTTCTGTTTTATAGATTTCATTGTTCAGAAAACGAACTGTGGAGTTCACACAAGCTTGATCTCTTTCCAAAGTGCCCTAATGCTTCTTATATTTTTGTATTAATTTATTAAGAACAACTATGTTTTAATACTCTTACTAAATTGCCTGTTTCAAGTCTTTGGGTGATTTAAGCGATCTGCTTTTTATTCTCCGTTGCTCTTTCCCTTTTCTTTAAATTGATAATATTATTTAAGCTCATTATAAGCTAAAGTATGTAAACGTTCTTTAAATTACTCAATGGTTCCATCTTTTACTAAAATATTTGACCATTACGTCCTGGTTTTTTTTTTAAATAGTTTTTACAAATATTTGTATATTGCCAATAAAATATTCTAAATGCTGTAACAGCAAATGTAGAAAAAATATAACTTTCTCTTCAGATTTTTTCAGAAAGTTTTTAAGACTGTGGTTTAGAGCCCAGCAAAAACAAACAGAAATTCTAAATCATATGAAGTGAATTAAGGTGGCACAGATGCTTCAGGAAAACCACTCTGGAAAAAAGAGTAAACCACCAGTCTTGTGTACTTTCTTATGTTTTTTCCAGCTCTCCTTTGGAATTGGAGCATTATCAATTTACTTTCCAAAGCCAGTGCTTTGGGGCTTAATAGGTGAGAGGAGGTGGAGCGTGATGAGTTTACAAGAGGCTCTCCCGTGGCTAGCATCAGTTTTTTTAAATACTTTTTGGTAAAATAATTGGCCATGATATTTTTAATAGGATGAAATGTGCTGAAATGTAGGAGAGAATATTTGTTTTGTATTTCATTGGGGTTTTGCAGCAAATCTAATTCTTCTATTTCTGAATCGGGAAATTCATGTGAACCCCTAAGAAAAACTTTGCCTTTTTCATGTGCTCTTAAAACCACTCCATTTGCCTTATTTTGGAAGCTGTGAAGGATGAGAGCTAACTTTATACATTCCTGCTTATTCTCCCAATATCATACAGATTTAATTAAAAATTTGATGTGAATGATTGAAGGTGATAATGTACCTTCACCTGGTGATCCTTTGTGCTTGCCTATCAAAGGATTTATTCACATCTTTTAGTGTTGGGTATGTATGATACATTTTAGTTTACAAGAAGAATGTGATTGTAAGCAAATGCTGATAATTGCTTTTTGATTGAAGTTATACCTTCATAATTCAATTAGTGTTTTCCTTCTCTGCTATCCAGCTCTTACGATACTCGTGAGACCAACAAAGCGCTTAATGTTAGGTTTCAAAATGTAAGTGAATGACGATGCCACAGAAGGAAGACCTTCTGGTAATTTATAAAAGGTATATGGTATTATAAAATCCCATTTCTGTGTCTTGCAAAATGTCCACCAGTATAGTTGGCTTAGGATTTATCAGTGACTATTTAAGGATAATAGAGACTTAACCCTCTATTATTGTCAGAATTGTTTCTCTTTGTTGAATGAGGGACTAACACATTGACTCTTCCATTAGTATGACATGTCATCCATCCTCCACTCTTCAGCAATATGCTCATCATCTCATCCTGGATTTTGCACTCCATTTATTGTAATGATTGGCTGCTCACAATGCTACAAATATTTGGGGAAAAAAAAAACAACCCAGAAATACATTCAGGCTTACAAATAGGAATGCCTTCATTGTGACTGTTTGCATCCTGAGATGATTGGCCTGAACTGCATTTGCGTCTCCTTCTGCTTGATGGCTTTTAGAGTTTCCAGTGTTTAAGAAATATTAAATCTGTTTTAACATATCTTTTATAAGTCATGTTTGTAGATCTTGTGAGATACATCTTTTACATTGTTGTGCAAATTATTATGCAAAAGTAACTTAATTTGTATGTATCTATGAAACTTTCTAGGTGTCTTCTTTTGATGAAACTTCTTCTGTTTCGGTGGATTTTCATTGATTTTTAATATGAAAGTAACTGGGTTGGTTCTAACTTGGCCGCTTAATCCCAAGAAACTAAAAACTTAAGTGCCATATTTTCATTGATGTTACTAAAGCTACTGAACTCTAAACTCCATGCTGGCTGAGGTTGTCCATACTATAACTAACTAATTTTGCATTTGTTTTGCATGCCAAATTAACCGACTAATTCTTTTTCATGGTTTATCACATAGTAACTAAAAAATTAATGTATATCACCAGTAAATAAAATTATTTTGATTTACCTTTTTTTTTTAACTTTCAGGACATGCATGTATAACACTGACAGTTTTGCTTGTGATGCTAGTTACCATTGGCTAGCTGACTTAGCCAAAGAAGAGTTAAGAAGAAAGTGCACACAAGACCACAGATTATTTCTAGTTTCTTAGAACTTTCTGGTGGCGTGGATACAGTGTATGTGTTAGTGCTCTTTGTTTTGCATGCTATCACTGTCTTTAATTGCATAGGAATGTCCATGAAGCAAGGAGAAACGAATCTGTCCTGGAATCACATTCTCAACACTCCTAAGACTCTTGAAAATAGAACAACTCCCAAGACTGAGAGTGATTACTTTCCTAAAAATGTGGGAAAGTAAAGAGATTTGTTCATGCTTAGAATCGGAGCAAGAAGAAAAGGAAGAAAGGGATTTTTTTTTTCATCAAATC